GAGACTTGTAGAGTGCTCCTGGGGGCTGGGTGGGAGTGGGGCAAAAACAAGCAAAAATTGGCCTCCCCAGCTTTTAGGAGCACTTTGCAAGCCTCCCAAACATTCTGCAGGCCCATTTTTGCAAAGGGGGCGGGGTTTCGGTAGGCCAAAGATGCAGTATTCAGTGTATAAGACGCACCCAGATTTTCACCCTCTTTTTGAGGGAAAAAGGTGCGCCTTATACTCCAAAAAATACGGTACATAAAGATAATTTGAAGATCGATATAACAAGCTTACTCAATAGGAACTGTGTATTATCACCTTTAATGATCTGAACTATGAGCAGAGAAACTTGTCATCATATCTTGAGAATAGCAATAATTAGCTGGGTACATGTAAGATATTTAAGGTGGTTAATAATTAATCAGCTGACTTCACACAATAGAGTTACTCCGCCATCACACCCTGCCCTTTTAGAAGGTTGTACAAGTAGTTCTCGACTTGCAATAGCTCATTTAGTGATCATCTGGAGTTAAAATAGCAAAAAGTGAAAAAAAGTGACTTATTTCACATTTATGACCACGGCAGCTTCCCCATAGTCACATGATCAAAATTCAGATGCTTGGCAATAGGTGTCTGACAGTTGCTGTGTCCTGGGATCATGTGATCACTTTTTGCGACTTTCTGACAAGCAGTCAACGGGGAAGTCAGATTCACTTAACAACAAACTTAACTGCAATGATTCACTTAGCAACTGTAGCAAGAAAGACGTAAAGTGGGGCAAAACTCACTTAACAACCATCTCACTCAGCAACAGATATTTTGGGTCCAATTGTGGTTGTCGAGGATTACTTAAATAAATGCAGCTGAAGGTTTTGATACTGACCTGGTTAAGGGCACTTGTCAGTATGAAATGGTAAGATTCTTGTATCTATCCTATTCTGCTTGAGACCACAAGCAGGTTCTCGCCTAGTGTATATGTACTGAAATCAGTTTGCAAGAAGTGTTTAAGGGAGTACGTCAAAAACAAAGATTTTGACCTAGCTTTTTCTCAAGATACCAGTCAGAACAGTTATATGGGCCTGGATTTTTCTTGGATCACTTTCTCTACTACAAACAATGTAGCATTTTTTTTCTACATGGATTTTTCATTTCAACTAGCCCTTTATTATCAAAACTGCTCTTTTCATTCTTATCCTCTTTGGATAACTTTACTATAAAGAGAGTTCTTATAATTTAAAAATACAATTCCAATAAAGGTGAATAAAAAGTAGAAGCGGTTTGTTGAGCAGGAGTATAAAATATATATAGTAAAACATTTCTGCTTAAAGTAGCAGAACAGTTAGCCTTAAATAACAAGTGTCCATTTCTTTCTCCTTAAAAATGAAGTTATACTCAGAGGCTGCATACGATTATATAGTTTTGATTCAGTGTAACTAGAAGCAGGGATTGATTTCAGTACAGCAAACACCTGTCAAATAAGATATGAATGGAGAACATGGAATCTTCCAGATTTTGCTGAAGTACAACTCGCAACAGTCCTGACTCGAGTGGTCAATGGAGGAGGACATTCTAGTTAGGAATCTATACCTCTTCGGTCAAGTAAGAAGACAGAAGCTTTCAGATTAATCAATTTATTTCACTATTGCACATGTATTTGATTAACTTTCCAACATGATCCAGTCCTGTCACGTGGACAAATTAATGAGTTGCACAATCAGAGAGAGGACGGAGAAAATAAAATGCTTACAAGCATAAAAAAACACCTTCCTGGAAAAAAAACACAGGAAAAACAGTCTTGCTTTTATCTCTAAGTGCAAGTGCTCTGTTCAGATCCATGCTTTCAAGAGATTAAGGATGTCATTATGGGTCCCATTCTCTAAAAGGGATATCAAACTTGCGGTCTTTAGGCCAGATGCATCATGCGCTGGTCTTGTCCACCCCCGTTTAGTGAAAGGGGGGGGGGGGAGTCACAATATGTCACGTGATGACATGATGCTGTGAGTTTGACACCATCTCTCTAAAGCAATACTGTTATCCCATTAACATTGATGTTCAATCTGGCACCCTCTTGATGTGTTCACACTGAGCTCCCTCCCCACTCCTCTACCTTTGTTTCCCCGAAAATAAGACAGGGACTTATTTTCGTTTGAGGTTTTATTTTCAAGGAAACAAGATATTAATTTCATTTTTGTTGGGGAAGGCTGTTCAATGTTACAGAAACCTGATTTCTTTTAAAGGTATTAATTGCGCAGGGTCGATTGGGAAGGAAATTTTAAACAGCGTTTAGGACTGTCATGTTATTTAAATAACACATTTAAAAATAGGAACAGGCAATAAACGAGCAGGTAATCTAACCTTGGCCTTTGATTTGTGTTCATTTGTCTCTTTGTAACTCTCTGCTTAATATAAGCCGCTGTGGTTTTGGTCAAAATAAACAAAGCAAACACCATGTCAATTGTTTGTGGGAGTAATACTGGGTACAGCAACAACCTAATTTTGCTAGGAAGTCTCAAGACCAGCTGATAGCATCCTGCACAGACCCAAGTACATTCAACATATTGCACAGGCTCTCCTAATAAATGGATTTCAAAGGAAAAAATCCAATGCCATTTAAAAAATAAGAGGAGGCACTTCCACTTTCACACATTAACTATGTGAAAAAAGGAAGAATGATCTAGCGCAGGGATCTGCAAACGTGGTAACTTTAAAAGACTTGTGGACTTCAACTCCCAGAATTCCCCAGCCAGCATGGATGACTGAGGAATTCTGGCAGCTGAAGACCACAAGTCTTAAAGTTGTCAAGTTTGGGGACCCCCTGATCTAGCATATCTATTCTGCTGAATGAATTTATGATTACTGCATGTCTAACTATGTGATCGTCAATATTACCATAATTTTAGCAGCTTGTAAGTAAGCATATGGTTCTAACAAGCATGTAAGAACAATGTACAGGGGTAATTTTTCACTAAGTGGCCAACTGATGAGGGATGCCTTGCTTTCATGAAACGTAGCTAAAAACCTGTAGGATGCATTGCAAAGATTATTCTCTGAAGTGAACCACAGAGAAGGTTGACATTTCTCACTTCAGAAATGCCACATTCTACTGTATTGGAAATGATTCTAGAACAAAAACCAAATGGACATCAGCGCTCCTGCAACACCTCCCAGAAAATGCACTACAGTGCAGCTCAACAAGACTGTGGAAAAGCATTTTTCTCCAAACCAGAGATGACCAATAAATGATCATGCGATAAATTCAAATACAGGAAAGCAGAACTACAGAGCAGATTTTTAAGATACTCTCCGTTCTCCAAAGTTTAAAAAAGAATCTACGGTCAGCAGGATCTGATCTCTTTCAAAATACATTTATTCATCCCGCCATTCCTCACAGTATTTTTACCTGCTGGGTTTCCAAATGTTTACTGGCCCCTTTTCTAGGCAATTGCCAAAGGCAAAGAAATGTTGGGAATGGTAGCTGATCTGGTATGTGTCCTCCAGATATGTTGACTTTTTCTGGAATTACACAGCCAGCTGGGAATTTGGGGAATTATAATTACCGTATTTTTCACAGTATAAGACACATCCCCCCCCCCAAAGTGGGTGGAAATGTCTGTCTGTCTTATAGAGTGAATATTGCGATGGGGGGAGGGGTGTTGGTATGGCCGCGGCATTCGCCACTGCTGCCTGTCACTTCTGCTGC